AAGTGCCAGGGACACAAAGGCACCAGACCAACAGCCGCCTGCCCTTCCCAGTCTCAGTCCCTCGGAGCGAGGCTGCCGGTGGCTGGCGGCTTTGCCGAGAGCGGTGGGAACCAGCCTGTGGGCACCTACCGGGTTCCCAGCCTAAGTGCCTCGATGGCCAGAAGGCTCTGCACCCCTCCCCCGCGGCAGTGGGGAGCAGTGGGGCCACAGCCTGCGGCCTGGGGTCCTCCGGGTCAGGGGTCTGTCCCTGTGCGTTGCCGCTGGGGTTACTGGTGATGTTTGTTTTCCCCGCGTGTCTTCAGTTTCCTGAGCTCTTCACAGCGAGCGCGCAGCGAGGACTTCCGCAAAGGGTGAGAGAAGACCCCCCACCGCAGCCACACGCCCTCCTGAGCGCTGCCGCCCAGCCTGCCCCCTCCCGCCCGGTGCGGCCTGGCCTCTGTGGGCCCCGACTCCCTCCCTGCACCCCAGCAGCTGGAGCAGTGAGCAGAGTGAGCGCCTGGCCCGGCTGCTCAGTCCACTGGCACCTGGCTTCCTCTGCCCCCCAGATGGCGGCCCTCCTCAGGGAGGCCCTTTCAGTCCGTGTGTCCCCCCAAGACCCCCTCCTCGGAGAACACGCCCTGGCTGTGGTCTCTGCTCACCTGAGGGACCTGCCCTCGCCTCTCTCCCCCCAGGCTCCACCGGGCTAACTGTTTAAGGATCACGTCTTCCATCTGCCTCCCTGGATCTAGGGGAGAGCCCGGCACGGGGCAGGTGCTCCAGGGGTGCCTGCAGCACACTCAGGCCTGAGTGTGGGGTGCGCGTCCTCCGGGTGCGTCACATGCGTGCGTGTCACGCCCTTAAGGCTCTGGGGCTCAGTGTGGCCCGGGTGCTGCCCTGACCCCCACACGGGTGGAGAACAGGGGCCAGACTCACATCTAGGACCGTCTCGGTCACTTCTAGCAGGGCTCCGAGGCAGCCCCTCCTGAGCACCCCTCACGACCCACTGCCCCTACCCTGACCTCAGGACCCCTGACCCTCAGGGCAGCAAGGCACAGCTGAGGAGCCTCAGTCATCCGCCCGCCGTGCCCTTGCTTACCGCTCCATCGGAGAGCGTGTTCATACCTGGGCGCGTGTGCACGTGTGTCTACTTTGGAAAGGTCATCCTCAGAGAAAACAACTGAGGCTGAGCAGAGAGACAGTTGCAGGCATCCATGCAAGATGTGGTGGCCTGGACCAGGGGACGCGGTGGACCATGTCGAGAGCCAGCCATCGGGATCTGTGGGGGGCGGCAGCCTGGACTGGGGGGGGCGGTGGACCGTGTCGAGAGCCGGCCATCGGGATCTGTGGGTGCTGTACGCGTGGGTGATAGGCATGTCACAGGCGACTCCAGGCCTAAGCTACTGAAGGACACTGTCCTCCTGCCGAGATGGAGCCCTCAGGAGGACATGGTTTGAGGATGAGACTCAGGAGAGAAGGAAGAGTTTCACTTTGTGGAACCGGGAGGCTCTGTCCTGCCATGCACCGGCCCCGCCACAGGAGAGCTGTTTCTCTGACAGCCTGATCAGTCTCCACTGGCCCGTGTGTACGTACAGGCCCCGCTACTCCATTTGATGATAGCGAGTTTATGGCATCTTAATGTCTGCTGAGTCCAAAACGTGCTCAGTAGCCAGTTCCAGAAAGTTTGTGGCGATTCTCACACACGTCTCTGTATCAACTTTAATACGGATAGTTATTAATTAGGTCCAATAATTTCTCCAAACATCCATGGATATTTTCATTGGAACCTTACTGAGTGTGTGTATGATTTGAGAAAGATTGTAATCTTTGGAACGGGCCGTCACTCCCAGGAACACAGTATGTTCTCTCCGTTGATCCCAGTGTTGCTTTCACTGTCTCCAGTGCAACACGTAGTCTTTCGTGGGGAGACCGTCTCCCTTTCACGGGAATGTCCCCCAGGGTGCCCAGCAGCCTCGTCATGACTGTGAACGGGACCTTTTCCACAACCATGTCTAACTGCTGCTCATTCCTGTAAAGAGGAAACGCCACTGCTTTGTCCTGTGTTTAGCTCGAACCCGGCCATCTTGAGATTTTCTAGTTGTAGCCTCGTACCCTCAAATAATGATAGATCTTTTTTTCCCCTCCAGCTGACAGCGAGCCTCTCTTGCCTCTGACTTGAATGGAAATGCTTTGCCATGCTGCCCACTTACTGTGTTTGCAGAGAGTCCCTAACGCCTCACTTAGGACGAGGGGTCACCTGCAGGGTGCTCGGCTTGTGTCCACGTGGTTTATCCTTTCTATTCGGCTCCACGCCATTTTTATCAGGAGTGACTGCTGAGTCTTGATGAATTCCCTTTTGCCATCTGTTGACATGTGACCTTTGCTAATATAAGGAATGGGAGGATTTGCTAATTCTTAAAGATTCTTTTTTCTTCTTCTTTATTGATTTTAGAGAGAGAGGAAGGGAGAGGGAGAGAGAGAAATATCAATGAGAGAGAACATCGATTGGCTGCCTCCTGCATGCCCCTCACTGGGGATCTGGCCCACAACCTGGGCGTGTGCCCTGACTGGGAATGGAACCAGCGACCTCTTGGTGCAGGGGTCGACACTCAACCCCTGAGCCACACCGGCTGGGCTTAAAGATTCTTACACTTGGAAGAAACCTTACTTAAACTTGGCGTGCCATTTTAAAATATGGCGCTAATATTTCCTGTGACTTAAAAAAAAAAATGTTTTAAATGTCTTTGCATTAATGTCTATAAATTAGATCGGTTTATATTTTTCTTTTCAAGTGTTTTCTTTATCATATTTTTCTATTAGGTATGAGGGGAATCGACAATGAATTGGACTACTATCCTGTGTTCTGGGATAATCTGACTAATGCAAACATGATCTGTTTTTCTGAAGTTAGACGTCGCTGGCCCTCACAGTCCTCTAGGCCTGACACCTGTTAGTGATGGGTGGTCGATCTGTTAAGAGCTTTCTTGGTTTCTTTTATTGTCATCTATTCAGGCCTCTCTCGTTTCTAAGTTAAATTTAGCGATCTTCACTTTGCTAGAAAACTCTTCAGCTTCCTCTGGAGCTCACAGCATACCCGTCGAAGCTTGCCCATACCAACTTAGACTTCTCCCCTGTCTGTTGTTAGAATCGCAGTGTTTCCAGGGGGTTTTGTGCTTTAACACTTTCAAAAAGAGCCCACACCCGCATCATCCCATGCCCGCCGTTACTCCTCCTGGATGGTCGGGGGGTGCTGATTGCGTGGCTGTGTGGGCTTACCTGGCAGAGCCGAGACTCAGACCCAGGACCGCCGCCCTTCCGGGCCGGACTCCTCCGCCTGTGTACTGTCCAGCGTGTTCACCTGACACGGAGCGCGCTCTGTGTCCGGAAGCGGTTCCTCCGTGATCCGAATGCGACGTCCTTGGGGTGGGTGGGAGGTGCCCGTGTACGCAGCTGCGCAGGTGCACTGTCACCTGTTGGAAAGTGCATCGGTGCATCAGTAGCACCACTTTTATGTGCTAGAATCAAAAGGAGAGGCATCGATTGACTTGGCAAATGGCCCCAGGTGGACGTATTGAAAAGCGTCTGTTAACCCTGGCGGTGGCTGGGGCGGGCAGTGCAGTGTGTGTGTGTCCACATTTTGGGGGACAGTCCCACCCCGTGTTCAGCATGCTTTCATAAAGCAGTATCATGCTCCGTCCCGAGGGCTGGTAGCAGTACACACAGTGCTGCTGAGTTGCTGAAGCTGAACCGCGACCCTGTTTTAACACCGGCTGGACATGAGACGTGGCGACCTGGTGCAGGTCTCAGTGCAGGCTGGGACATCGCGGTGTTTGTGGCCAGTAGTCGCGATGGGCTTTGATGTGGGGGAACCAGCGTGTCTCAGAACACACTGGGGGGTGGGCGGCTGTCCTGCACGCTCAGCCCTGGGTCCTCGGGAGCCCAGCCCCACCCTCGCCCCCGCCCCGCCCTCACTTCAGGCACTGACCTGCTGACGCAGCCACCACAGGTCCCCCTCCAGAGGCTGTTTCCTCACTGCAGCAAGTGGATGGATGTCGGGGCTGCGCCCTGCCCTGCCCACTCCCCGACCTCCGACCTCCGACCTTGTCTCCTTGCAGGAGGCTCGGGACTCAGCTGCCCCCCACAGGCTCGTCCTTTGAGCTCATCGCCCACGCCTGGCTTTCTCATGGAGTCTAGTCTCCCCAGTGCCCCCAGGACAGACAGATCCTTGTCATTGTCAGCATCCAAGTCACTTCCCCTTGCTCCTAGTCCTGCTGCCCTGTCCACCGCTGTGATCAGCAGGTGCAGCGGGGCCGCTGCCCTCCTGGGGCCCCTCCTACCTCACCTTCCCAGGAGCCCTCTTGCCCGCACATGCGCCTAAACAGAAGGCCCTTCTGTTGCCCCCCTCCCCGGCCCCTTGTTCTCCCTCCAGAAGGCTGTCCCTGAGCCAGGCTGAAGCCATTCCAGCACCACGGACAGCGCCGCGGGGTCCTGAGCGCCTCCCACCACCCCAGCGTCCACTGCCCAAGGAGGGGCAAGCCTCTCGCCCCGCACCCGCCAGGATCGAATCCCTGTGGGGCTCGAAATGCGTCAGACTTGAGGGAGCACTTAGCCAAGAGTGGGGCGCAGTGCAATGCAGTAACAGCCACCAAACCCGCCTTTCCGAGTCCACCTGCGGAGAACTGGGGTCGGGAAGTGGGAGCGGTCCGCAGACCTGTGCCGGCTGCGCCCCTGACACGCAGAGCCCGCCCCTGCCTGCTCGCTCCGTCCACCAGCAGAGGGGCCAGGGAGCCCGTGGGTGCCGCCAGGCCCCACCCAGCGCCGCCCGCCCCTGGGACTCATGTTTGCTCCTTCAGGGCAGTTAAGTTCGAACCTGCGTTTGGATCCTGTTTAGACCCACACCAGGGGCACATTTGTCTCCTGGCTCATCCCCCTCACCCAGATGGACCTCCAGGGACCTGGTGGGGATGGGCCGAGGGCCAGGCGGTGGTCTGTCAGTTACAAACCAACGCGTTTTCTTTGTCCAGACTGCTGCTAAGTGGGCGGAGAAGATGCCCAAAGGCCCGCCGCCCACGTCTCCTAAGGACATGGTGAACCCCGAGCTCCTGGCCCAGCTCCACAAAGCAGTGGCTGCCCACTACCACGCCATCGCGCAGGACTTCGAGAACTTCGACACCACGAACACGAACACGGTCTCCAGGGACGAGTTCAGGGCCGTTTGCACGCGCCATATCCAAATCCTGACGGATGAACAGGTGAGACCGCGTTCGGTGTCGCATCCTGGGCCCCGTGGTGGGTGTGTGGGGGCTGGCCCTTCCCCGCGGTGTAGAGAGTTTAAGACTGTCTTCTATTTTAAAAATACTGGAAGGGGCCCTGGTCGGTTTGGCTCAGCAATTACAGCATCGGCCCACGGACCAGAGAGGCCCAGGTTCGGTTCCCGTTAAGGGCACGTACCTCGGTTGCAGTTTGTCCCTGGTTGGGGTCGTGTGGGTGGCAGCCCCTCGATATGTCTCTCTCACATCTATGTCTCTCTCTCCCTCCCGCTCTATCTGAAGATAAATGCAAAAATGTCCTCTGGTGAGGATTAAAAAAAAAACTACTGGAAGGGTGTTGGGTTTTTGTTTTGTTTTTTCTGGGCGGGGGAGGGTTGTTTTGTTTTCAATTTTACTGAAGATTCACAGGAGCCCTCTGTGTATGTAAAAGGTACGGGGTGCATCATTTCACCAGGGTGCAGAGGATCACTTTTATTTTTAAAGTCAAATTGAATTTGGCTCCAACTGCCACTGTCCTTCTCCTTCCCTGGAGCATTGCTGGGCGTAGGGGATCCGCAGAGGAGGCCCGTCTCCCCCAGCCCCACCTCGCCTCCCCGGGTGGCGGCGGGGGCTTCCCGACACTCTGGACTGGAGCTGCCCACCCTGGTGACGCGCCCCCCAGCTGTCTCCACTGTCCAGGGCAAGAGGAGGCCACTCCCACCCCAACAACAGGAAAAAGCCAAATGGCTACAAAACCGGAAGTTTCGCCCTGGCCGGTTTGGCTCAGCGGTTGGAGCGTCGGCCTGCGGTACAGAGAGACCCGGGTTCGGTTCCCGCTAAGGGCACGTACCTCGGTTGCGGTTTGTCCCCGGCCCTGGTTGGTGTGCGGGTGGCAGCCACTCGATGTGTCCCTTTCACATCGATGTTTCTCTCTCTCTCTCTCTCTTCCTCTCTCTCCCTCCCGCTCTATCTGAACAAAAAATGGAAAAATGTCCTCGGGTAAGGATAAAAAAAAAAAACCGGAACTTTCTTGAGCCCGTCAGAGAGCTGAGGTTGCCCGGAGGTCACTTGTTCCTCACTGTACCCCAAATGCCGGAACGGAGCCTGGCACAGCCAGCGCCCCACAAGCCCCTGTGAGTGCACAGTGTCCAGTGTACGGTCCACATCCCCTGAGGGACTGCACAGCCGGACACACAGCACCAGTGACCCAGTCACGGAAGAGGATTTCCCTTCTCCCAAAAATGCCCTGCTCCGGGCCCTCTGGTTCTCAGATGCACCGATGCCCAGGGCCCGTTCCGGAGGACGATTCAGACACAAAGTGAAAGCAGCTCCTGGTTCTGCTCAGGCTCAGCCCGGAGCTTCCTGCAGACCCGGTGGAAATGTCGTACTTTCCCTCTGAAGCTGGGTCACGCCGACCTCGCCTCAGTAGCTGAACGTGTTCGTGGGGAGGGGGGCTTCACTCACGCCCTCATCCCCACTGAGGCCTCTGCACTCGTGTCTCAAGAGAATGAAGTCATTGCCCTGGCCGGTTTGGCTCAGCAGTTAGAGCGTCGGCCCGCGGACCAAAGAGACCCGGGTTCGGTTCCGGCCAAAGTCATGGGCCTCAGTTGCGATTCGTTTCGTTTCTGGCCCCAGTTGGGGTTGTGCAGTCGGTCTATGTGTCCCTTTCACATCGATGTTTCTCTCTCCTTCTCTCCCTCCCACTCTGTCCGAAGATAAATGTAAAAATACCCTTGGGTGAGGATTGAAAAAAAAGAATGAAGTCTTTAAGGACACTAATAAGATGAACGTCAGACTTGCCTTTTCTAAAACGTCACCTTTTTTATACCTTATGATCATCTTTGCTAACCAAATTAAGTGCTAATCCCAAATGACTCTGTCCCCTTGTGCAGCAAATGAAATACAGCTGTCACCATAAATGGACAGAGCCTTTGAGATGAACGCAGTTGCATTCATTATTCAAGGGACCAACTGGTAAAGATTTCTCCTTTAATCTGAGTAAGATTTCACTCTGATTCTAGATAGATGTGTGTGGCGTTCCGGCGCATCTGGCTCGGAACAGAGGACCGGATGTTGATTGTCCTGTAAGACAGCTTCGCCATCCCCAGCACGTCAGCCCCCTCCCCAGATCAAGCACTTATTTTTGAATTCTGCTTTCTAAAAATACGCAGACAGCCCCAAACACAGGCTGCGTCCCCGAGAGCACCAGCGTCTGTGCAGTGGTGCGAGTGTGGTGGTGCTGAGCAGAAACTGTGCTGCTTGGGAAGGTGCTCCTGAGTGCAGGCTGGGAAGCAGCCAGCCGGGCCTTGAGGTCCTGGTTACTCAGCCGGCGACCTTCTGGGCGGACGGCAGGGTGCGGGAGCAAGGAGGCACCCCTCACAGTGCAGGCCCCTCGTGCCATTGTTCCAGAGGTCCCCGGGGCAGTTCCAACCGTGTCCATAGCATCCGATGCAGGTTCCATGACGGGTTTACCTGCGTTACAAAAACTCATCTCATCCCGAAAGCAACCCGGCAGCCATGCACCCTCGGGCCCGCTCCTCACTCCAGCGCTCTGTGAGGGGGGAAGCGCCGCCTTTTCAAACCTTTCAGCATAACTAAGCTTGGGGAAAAGGAGAGCGACCTCCCGAGCAGGTGGAGCGGGGGGCTGGCGAGGGGCCCCCTGGCTCTGCAGAAAGCCTTTCTGGAAGGCCGTGGGACCTGGGTCTGCGTGGATAGCGGAGGCCCGCGGCGGGCGCTCCCGGCCAGGCCGGTTAGATCAGCGCACTGCGGCTGTGTTGGGACAGGGGCCGTGAAGCCTTCCCGAACATCCCAGATGCAGTATTTCAAAAGCTCCTCCAGGAACCGAGAAGGACGCTGGCAGAGAACGAAACCTTTCAGGCAGGAAGACTTGGGCCTCGACCTGGCGTCTGGGCCTGTGCAGCTGTGCAGCCCCTCTGGGCTCCGGCACCCTCCCCATGAAATGGACACGCCCAGCACCCCCCAGGCTCCTCCAGGTGCTGCCAGCCCCTTGCCCTCCCCTGCACCTGGAGCTCCCCCGCCAGCCAAGCCCTCGGGACGCTCTTGCGTGTTCTCTGGCGCGGAGCTCTGTCTGGGCTACACGGCGAGCGCCTGAAGGCGTGTGCGTCTCCCACCCCTGTTGGGGGCCCTCTTGCCCACAGCGTGGTGTCGTCCCAGGGAGCCCAGGCAGGCCTGCAGTGTGGGTGCAGCTGCTGCCAGCCGGCGGGGCACAGCAGGCACATCTCCCTCCCGGGGCCGGGGCCCCTCCAGGGGCGGACAGGCGGTGAACACAGAGCTGACGTGTGCAGGGTGGTGGTGAGAGCTGCAGGGGGGGGGGCAGGAAGAGGGCGCACGGGAGCCGGGCAGTCAGGGAGGGCTCTCTGAGGAGGGGGCATCTGAGTGGCAGATGGCTGTTGGATCGAGGAGGTGTTTGGGTCGGAGCCAGCAGAATTTGCTGATGGGTGTGTGTGGGGAGGAAGGGGGACTGGAAGCGTCCAGGCGCCATGGACAGAGGTGGGTGCTGGGGGTGGAGCGGTGCTGAGGGGGGCCAGGAGTGGGGGCTTCACGGATCCATCTGCCCACAGTCACAGCTTCTATCCCACTCTGGCGTGTGGTCCACTTTTCTTTGTGCTGGTACACGTTTACCTGCTCTCTCAGTGAAGAGTAAACCCGGGAGCCTCTCTTTCTATTTTACCCTTGTTCGTAAACGGTAGTGCAGCTGGGGATAGACTTCTAGGGCCAAGTTTTCTTCCCTCTGACATTTGGAAGAGATTTCTCCGTTGTCTTCCCACACCTCTTGGTGCTGACGAGATACCTGCTGATTTTCACATGTTTTCTACGGGCGCCTGTCCCTGAAGGGCGCCACCCGCACCTGGCTCCTGTGGCCACGCGCCCGCTGGCCTCTAGGGTCATGGGTCCCTCCTCCACGTCTGTTCAACAGTTCCCATGTTGTGTCTGAATAAGACAGTGCATTTTAACTTCTTAAAGTAAGTTTTTGTTGATTTTTAGTTAGAGAAGAAGTGGGGAGAGAGAGAGAGGGAAACATCAATGAGGGAGAAACATGGATCGGCTGCCCCCTGCACGCCCCCTGCACGCCCCCTGCTCGCCCCCCTGCACGCCCCCTGCTGCACGCCCCCTGCTGGGATCAAGCCCGCAACCCACACCTGTGCCCTGACCGGGAATCCAGCTAAGGCCTCTTCTCCTCTCGGGGCCTGGAACGTTCTCCTCCCTTCTTCTCCCCTCACAACTTCATTTCCAGAATTTCAAATGGAGCTGGACATGGTCCCTTTTCATTTGCTTTTGGAAACCCCGGTGGAGCCCAGAAGCGACTTGGGTTCCCGGCCGAGGCCAGGTGACTGGGGAAGGATGAGGACAGTCCCTCCCTCCGCTGGTCAGAGCTGGTGCCCCCAGCAGGTCCTGGAGGCTGGGCCTTAGGCTCCACGGGGCCGCAGGGGCCACGGAAGAGCAGTTGCGAGCAGGGTACCGTCCCTCCGGCTCGCTGAAAGCCCCGAGGCCACGCGAGGGGCTCATTCAGGGGGCGCCGGGCCCCTGCGGTATTTCCGGTGGCTCCGCCCGGCCCGGGCAGCAGAGAGCACAGTGCGGAGCTGTGGCCACCTCCGGTTTTCCTGGTGCCGCCTTTCGTCTTGTGAGAAGGCACTGCCCTCCCTCGGGGTGGACTGAACTGTGGAGGCACAGTGCCGGGGGCTGGGTCCTGCTGGGCTGCGGGCAGAACTCAGCCTGGAGGGTGAGTGAGCCGGGCTGGGCGGCCGGGACCCAGCGGCCGGCTGGGTGAGCACTTCCCCCAGCGTTCCTGTGCACGGCTGCTCGGTCCCGGGACCAATCACAAGATTTCATGGCCTTAAATTGCTTGCCGAGGGCCCAATTCAATTAAAAAATGTCCTGCAGAGCCATGAATTTCCTCCTGTCTTCCTTGCTCGGGCTTCCGGAGGCTTCCACCGAGTGGAGGCCGAACGGATTTTTCTTTCTGAATGTTTTGTACTGTCGTGGGCTCTGAACGCCCGCCCCTGTGAACGCTGCCTTCTCCGGCGCGGGGGCTCCACGTGGGGTTCACACTGACCCGGGGAATCGTCTTCTGCTTCTTTGCCAGTTCGACGGGCTCTGGGGCGCGATGCCGGTGGACGCCAAGGGGAGGCTGAAGTGCCCGGACTTCCTGAGCAGGTTCGGTGCGGAGAAAGTGGCAGCCCAGCCGAGCACCAGTGACTCGACCAAGGCCCACAGGGGGAGTGAGGTCCCCGGAGCCTCGGAAGGGAGTTCTGTGGGGCCACCGCCCCCCCGAGACCTGAGAACAGGGTCAAAGCTGCGGACTCAGCCCTGTGTGAGTCCTCCAGCCCCGCGCCACGCCGCCTCCCCAGTCCCCCTGGGGGGGTCTCTGCTGTCCCCACAGTGTGGGTGCCTGAGCAGGTGGCATAGGGTGAGCCTCGGGGGGGGGGGACAGGGCAGGAGCCCAGAGGGGGAGGAGGTGTGAGGAAGGGGTCGGGGGGTGGAAGGAAGGCACGGCGGTGGAAGGGGTGAAGGGGTGCCTGCCTGAGGAGAGCTGGGGCAGGAAAAGGTGTGTGGGGGCGGGGTGGGGGCTACCACGTCAGCCACGCCCCAGTAGGTACCCTGTGCGTGGAGCTGCCACTGTGCGCCACAGGGAAGCCTCGTTGCACTCGTTCCGCGGGCGAAGATGCCAAGGCTCCAAGAGACCCTCAGACACAAGGAAACCCCATTGCGGACCCCAGCCTGTCATTGCACAGCCTGGCCCGGGGCTGAGTGGGGGAAGGCAGCCCCGCGAGGCCCCATCATTAAGAAGCGTGTGTGCGCGCATGCGTGTGTATGTGTGTGTGTGCATTTGTGCATGTGAGCGTGTGTGCATGCGCGTTTGTGTGCACGTGCGTGTGTGTGTGCACTGGGACGGGGCTGAGAGGACCCGACCGTGAGCCCAGTGCTCCGCCCGGCGAGCCCCCTGAGACAGCATACTCACTCCCTCACATGTGCTGCCTGCTCTCGGGCTAGCCGAGGTCTCTGCCCTGCTGGAGCTGATGGTCTCCTGGGGTGGCAGGCAGGAAACAGTGAATGAAGTGAATAAAGTATTGAGCCAGATGGGGGTCAGGAACACCCCGAAGATGTCCATATGGCACAGGGCAACCAGGTTGCAGGTGGAATCAGAGGTGCTGACCAGCTGACTTAAGACGGGATGGTCCCCAGACCTGGTGAGCCCGAGGCAGTGACAGGGTCTGCAGGCGGGACACCGAGGGAAGGCCGCAGGGGAGAGGCCACGTGAGAAAGACCCACCCGCCATCCTTCGGGCTTGGGAGCTGGCGGGAGCCACAGCCGAGGACTGTGGGGCCTCTAGCAGGGGACCGGGCAAGGAACAGATTCGCCCCGCCCCGAGCGCAGCCCCGCCCACACCTGGCCGTGAGCTGGGGGGGGGGGGGACTCTGCAGGCTTCCGCCCCCGACCTGTGAGAGAACAAAGTGTGAGACCCCCGAGTGCAGGCCAGTGGAGCGGCCCCAGGACACTCCCCAGGCCTGGGGCTCCAGTCCAGGGCGATGGAGCCTTGCAGTGTTTAAGCTCAGCCTTGGGGCTCCGAGAAGACCGTGGGGCGCCATGGGCGGGAGAGGCCTTGGCAGCAGGGGTGCCGCAGAGGCGGGAGGAGGCTGAGGCAGCGATCCCGGCGAGTGGCGCTGCTGGCCGGAGCGACGTGGCCGGGAGCTGCTGGACACTGGGTGTTAACCCTCACCCAAGGACAGTTCTCCATGGACTTTTAGACGGAGTGGGAGGGAGGGAGGGAGGAAGAGAGAGAAACATTGATTGGTTACCTCCCCAACGACCCTAACGGGGGCCAAGGTCAAACCTGCAACCCAGGTACACGCCCTTGCCCAGGAATCGAACCCGAGACCCTTTGGTCTGCAGGCTGACACTCTACTCACACCGGCCAGGCTCATTCATTCCCCGTTTTTATTTATTTATTTATTTATTTATTTATTTTTTAGTAGAAATCAATCTTTATTGATTTTAGAGAGAGAGGAAGTGAGAGGGAGAGATAGAAACATGGATGAGAGGGAACATCGACTGGCCGCCTCCTGCATGCCCCCCACTGGGGATCGGGCCCACAACCTGGGCATGTGCCCTGACCAGGAACTGAACCGGCGACGTCTTGGTGCAGGGTCGACGCTCAACCACTGAGCCACACCGGCCGGACCCGTTCCCCGTTTTTAAATGAAAAATACAAGAACCGTCGTGTTTGTACTTGGTCCACAGACTTCCAAGGCACCCCCAATTCTGGGGCTGAGGACGGGTGGATGCACCACCCCTCTGACAAGGGAGGCCCCCTCTTCCCTAGAACTCCTCCTCTGGTGACAGCAGTGTCGTCACACACGCACACGCCAGTCACACACTGAATCAGCATCTCTGTATGTGCATCTCGGCTACATGTTATGTCCCACCGGCTTCAGTTCCTATGGCTCAGGCCGACACAGCTCCTGGGAGTGGTCCCCACGACTTCAGTTCCTATGGCTCAGGCTGACACAGCCCCCGGGAGTGGTCCCCACGACTTCAGTTCCTATGGCTCAGGCCGACACAGCCCCTGGGAGTGGTCCCCACGACTTCAGTTCCTATGGCTCAGGCCGACACAGCCCCTGGGAGTGGTCCCACCGACTTCAGTTCCTGTGGCTCAGGCCAGCACAGCCCCTGGGAGTGGTCCCCACAACTTCAGTTCCTATGGCTCAGGCCGACACAGCCCCCGGGAGTGGTCCCCACGACTTCAGTTCCTATGGCTCAGGCCGACACAGCCCCTGGGAGTGGTCCCACCGACTTCAGTTCCTGTGGCTCAGGCCGACACAGCCCCCCTGGGAGTGGTCCCACCGACTTCAGTTCCTGTGGCTCAGGCCGACACAGCCCCTGGGAGGGGTCCCCACGACTTCAGTTCCTATGGCTCAGGCCGACAGCCCCCCTGGGAGTGGTCCCCACGACTTCAGTTCCTATGGCTCAGTTCCTGTGGCTCAGGCCGACACAGCCCCTGGGAGTGGTCCCCACGACTTCAGTTCCTATGGCTCAGGCCGACACAGCCCCTGGGAGTGGTCCCCACGACTTCAGTTCCTATGGCTCAGGCTGACACAGCCCCCGGGAGTGGTCCCCACGACTTCAGTTCCTGTGGCTCAGGCTGACACAGCCCCTGGGAGTGGTCCCACCGACTTCAGTTCCTATGGCTCAGGCCGACACAGCCCCTGGGAGTGGTCCCCATGACTTCAGCTCCTATGGCTCAGGCCGACACAGCCCCCGGGAGTGGTCCCACCGACTTCAGTTCCTATGGCTCAGGCCGACACAGCCCCTGGGAGTGGTCCCCACGACTTCAGTTCCTATGGCTCAGGCCGACACAGCCCCCCTGGGAGTGGTCCCACCGACTTCAGTTCCTATGGCTCAGGCCGACACAGCCCCCGGGAGTGGTCCCCACGCCTTCAGTTCCTATGGCTCAGGCCGACACAGCCCCTGGGAGTGGTCCCCATGACTTCAGCTCCTATGGCTCAGGCCGACACAGCCCCTGGGAGTGGTCCCCATGACTTCAGCTCCTATGGCTCAGGCCGACACAGCCCCCGGGAGTGGTCCCACCGACTTCAGCTCCTATGGCTCAGGCCGACACAGCCCCCGGGAGTGGTCCCACCGACTTCAGTTCCTATGGCTCAGGCCGACACAGCCCCTGGGAGTGGTCCCCACGACTTCAGTTCCTATGGCTCAGGCTGACACAGCCCCTGGGAGTGGAGCCGAGTGGCAGATTGCCTCTGCGTCTGGCTTTTCGTCTCATCTCCGAGACGCCCGCCCCCGCGGAACCGTGGTCTCCGCACCCGCGTCGTGCCCATCGGTGGTCGCGATCCCTTGCGTTCTAAAGCTTCCGTTACAGGGCGGTTCTCTCTGTCCGGCAGACCCCCGGCAGGGCGGGCACCGCGCCGGGCACGCCCCCCCTGCAGAACTGCGAGCCCATCGAGAGCAAGCTCCGCGGGCGAGTCCAGTGCTGCTGGCGCACGCTGCTGAAGGAGTGCAAGGAGCGGGACGCGCTCAAGCAAGGCGACATCGCCACGGCCGAGTTCCTGGGTGCGTCCCGTTCGCGCCCCGCCTGGGTCGCCTCCGGGGTCCGGGCCGCTCCCTCCGTGGAGGCACCTGGGTGGCGGTGGGCTGAGCGTCATGGCAAACGAGCGTGGAGGCGCCTGAGCCACCCGGACGCCCGCTGAGCAGGCCACGCGCTCCGGCTGGGCCATGGCCCTGGGCGGCAGGTGGCTGCTGTGATGGACTGAGGGGGGCGGAGGGGGGCAGGGGGGCTGGGATGCCAGGCCGCCCCCACGCAGCTCACGTGGATTCACTGCGCCCACTTTGATCAACTTCTCGAGGTGATCCAGTTTGGTCTCCGCTTCCACTAGTGGCCGCGTGTTGTTTATGCAGCATTTCAACTCCAGGGACATCATCCGGCCCTGTCACTCCTCTGCTGGGAAGCCCCCCAGCTCCCCTCTTCTCAACTGCTGTCTAGAACCCCGTTTAGGAAAAGGTTTTCCTCGGGAACCTTGTGTTACCTTTGTGATAACCGTGGTCCAAAGACGCAGAACCGAAACACGGTGTAAACTCCTACAGTGAGCAGTCCTACCAGAACACACACGTTCAATGCAAAACCAGGAGCTCAGTAATAACCAGATGTCGCTGCATTGACTCAGTGTGCCTTGATCGGCGGTTTCACGCTTGTTTGAGTTCCAGGTGTTTGTTAGTTGATTCTTTCGGTTTTTGAGCAGGAAGAACCTTTACTTGTGCTGTTATGGTCATCGCTGCTGTTTGTCTTTTTTTTAACTGCTCACCCGAGGATAGTTTTCCATTCACCTTTAGATAGAGTGGGAGGGGGAGCGAGAGAGAGAAACATCGATGTGAGAGAAGCACATTGATTGGTTGCCTCCTGCACGACCCTGAACAGGGCCTGGAATGAACTGCAACCAAGGTACGTGCCCTTGACTGGAATCGAACCCGCGACCCTTCGGTCTGCAGGCCGACACTCTCGCTGCTGAGCCACACCAGCCAGGGCGCTGTTTTTCCTTTTTAACCACGAACTGATCTCAGCCACCAACCCGTCACTCGGACAGACTCGTCTGGCTTTAGTGATGCATCTGAATCCCACACTAAAAAGTTTTCCCACGGGGGCTCCGTCCTCTGCACGGGGGCAGAGGAACGCCCGTAGCACATGCACAGCCTTGTCTCTCGGCCGGCGCATGGCTGGACAGTGTCGTGCACGGAAAGTCCACGGGCACTGATTCTCCTCATTAGCCGTCATAATTAACTAGCATTCCACTCCTCAGCTCGCTGTTGCTTGTGTGGTGTCCAATGGAGGTCTCGGTTCGTACCTTAAACTAAAATCTGACGCTGCCTGCGTCCCTCAATGATGAGCTGCAGAAGCAGCTCGGGTGTGACAACTGGTCCAGGAGTGGAGCGTGAGAGCCCGTGGGGAGCACGCCAGCCTCGGCAGCGGGGAGGGCCCGCGGACGTGGCATCGCCCTGGCACTGCCTGGCAGGATCGGTCTCTGTGTCTTAGATGGCCAGTGGCACAAAAACCCAAGGTGTGGGTTCGTGCAGCCCAGCGGACTCTCGAGAGGACACCCCCAGAGCCCGGTTGAGAAATACGCAGTTGGGCCCTGGCCGGTTTGGCGCAGCGGTTAGAGCGTCGGCCTGCGGTCCTGAGAGACCCGGGTTCGGTTCCCGCTAAGGGCACGTACCTCGGTTGTAGTTTGTCCCCGGCCCTGGTTGGTCGTGTGGGTGGCGGCCACTCGATGTGTCCCTTTCACACCGATGTTTCTCTCTCTCTCTCTCTCTCTTTCTCTCTCTCCCTCCCGCTCTATCTGAACAAAAAATAGAAAAATGTCCTCAGATGAGGATAAAAAAAAAAAAAGAGAGAAATACGCAGTTGGGGGGCCACGTCTGAGTTCCAGACCCACACCCAGCACCCAGAGCCCCTGACTCCAAGCCTTTGCTCGGACAGTCTCCTCACAGGGTACCCCCAATTCTGCTCTCTCCCTGCCCACCCCGTGGCACTGCACCCACAGCCCCCTCTCCCGCCGCAGTGACCATTGCCATGGTGACCGCGCACAACCAGGATGGGCCCTGCGTCCTCTCCACTCACACCTAGCTTGCTGTGTGCGCGGGTGTCCACCTCTGTGCAGCCACGGGCCTCCGGCTTGTGAAGCAAGGGCCTAAAGCAGGGACGGCCCCTCGGCAGGGACGGCTGAGTGAGCCAACGAGCGAACTGACGGCTGAACCGGCCCTTCTGTCCTCAGCTCTGGTGGAGAAGTTCCACCTGGACGTGAGCCCGGAGGAGCGGCGGCAGCTCACGACCAAGTACGACCTCAGGAACAACGGGAGATTCGCCTACTGCGACTTCATTCAGAGCTGCGTCCTCCTGCTGAAGGCGAAGGAGACCTCGCTGATGCAGAGGATGAAGATCCAGAACACCCACCGAATGGTAGGAAGACGGCCCCTCCGGGCGGCCGGGGGCGCACAGGGTCTCGGGGCTTCCTCAGTGGATCCTCTCGCTTCCTACGAAAGGCAGGCACGGGGTGCGGAGGCTTTGGAGGGGCCGCCGGCGAGGGAGGACCCACCTGTGGGGTGTCCCCAGCCCGCTGCCGCCGCCCCACGCACCCCGCTCAGATCTCCTTGCACATGTATTTGTGTGTCACACCTGCATTGTATATCGCATTGTGTGGTACACCTGTGTATGCACATGTGGCATGTGTGCGTACACGTGTGACACGTGGGCCGTGCGCCATTTCCTCCATTCCGTAAGGCCTGCCAGGCAGTTTTCAGGTGAGCTTATAACCGCTGGGGGTCAGGCCAGCGGCCTGGCGTGCCGGGGGGCTGTTGTCTGGAGGTAAGAGCTTGGCAGAGGTGAGGCCCCCGTTGGGCTCTGGGGGCATCGCAAACAGCTCAGAGTTTGCTTTCCTGGGAGTGATGCAGAGATTTCCTTCTGGAGACCCTAGACTGGGGACCGACAGCCTGAGCCCCAGGTCCTCAAACTCATGCGGGTGCAGAGCCCCCCGAAACATCCGCGTGGCAGGCAGGCAGAGCCAGCGGCCATAGGAGGCACAGGGAGCGGCCATCCGTGGGGTCACCGAAGGCAGAGCCGGAGTGCAGGGGCTGGGGTCACCGCCAAGGGAGACCTTTTATTTATTTATTTATTTATTTAAATCCTCACCCAAGGACATTTTCCCATTTATTTTCAGATAGAGTGGGAGGGAGGGAGGGAGAAACATCGATGTGAGAGGGACACATTGATTGGCTACCTTCCACACCAGGGCCGGGGACGAACCGCAACCCAGGTACGTGCCTTGACTAGGAATCAAACCTGCAACTCTTTGGTCCGCGGGCTGACGCTCTAACCACTGAGCTACACCAGCCAGGGCCGACAGGAGACCTTTTAAACTCAACCACAGTGCACACCCTTCGTCAGCCATCTGGACGGGCCAGACCCTCCGGGCACAGGGTGTGGTGGGCGCTTCCTCGTCCCCCTGCCTAACAACACCCACACGTCTCTCTGTTTCTCTGAAGAGGGACGGGAACCTAAAGATGCTTGAACAGCGGCTGGAGGACCCTGTTCTTCAGTGTTTTAGCTGTTTTCTCAGTCGTTTGTCATTGAAGGATCTGTGCCCTCCCTCACCCCGTCCGACCACGGTGTCCACTCCCGTCCAACCACGGTGTCCACTCCCGTCCGACCACGGTGTCCACTCCCGTCCGACCACGGTGTCCACTCCCGTCCGACCACGGTGTCCACACCCCGTCCGACCACGGTGTCCACTCCCGTCCGACCACGGTGTCCACTCCCGTCCGACCACGGTGTCCACACCCCGTCCGACCACGGTGTCCACTCCCGTCCGACCACGGTGTCCACTCCCCGTCCGACCACGGTGTCCACTCCCGTCCGACCACGGTGTCCACTCCCGTCTTCCCAGAATGCGGAGCAGGTGAAGCCTCACTGTGCTCGGGTCTGTCATCCGGACTGAGCGAGGCTCCTCTGAGCTACATGACAAGCACAGCTGCAATTGTGTTTGGGGCACAGACAGCTGGTCCCACTCAGGACTCGGGCAGGGGCCAGAGGTGTGCCCGCCGCGCCCCAGCACCAGCAGAGGCGGGGCTTCACCCAGCGAGCAGTTTCCCCCATACAGAAAGTTTCTACCCAGCAGTGTCCGGAACTGTGCAAAGCCCAGCACCGTCTTAGTGTAGTTCCCAGTGCGGACGAGCGAGAGCCGGGAGGAGAGGGTCCGGCCTGTCCCAGTAGAGAAGCTGAAGGCCATTCCTTCCCACTCGCTTTCTGTGGGCAGAGAAAGGCTGTTCTCACACCATCGCCAGGGGACCCAGGGGCTTGGCAACCCGTGGAGACGGCCCAGCCTGCAGGGCCCCTGCCAGCCCTGGCCTTTCTCTGCCTCTCTGGGCCGCCCCCCACCCCCGCGCTGGGAATGATGGGGCGGCCTACAGCTTCGAGAGCCTCCAGGGGCGCCCGGTCAAGAAGAGTGCCCCAGTGCCCTGCTCGGAGCCCTCCCTGGGCAGAGGCCACCCTGGCCCAGTTCCCACTGCTCATCCTCACAGAGGTGCAGACAGGCTGGCCCGTGGGGGCTCCCAGTGAGAAGTGACAGGTGCTCCAGCACAGCCCACCTCCCGTCGCTCCTGTCCGTCCTCCAGCTCCTTCCACCCAAAGCTCACACTCGGTTCAGCAGAGCCCCGTCATCCATCGCCATCCGACCTGACGTGATTGACAGGCGGTGCCCAGTCTGTCCCCAGGACCCTTTCCTAGGAGAGAGCCCGCCCCTGCCTGGCCCAACTCCCAGGCCCATCCCCTGTGCGTAGGGGCTTTGGGGGCCTTCCTCTGCAGCCTTCAGCAGCAGGCCGCCCTTGGGGGAGATGGCTGGGGAGCGGGGTGGGGGCAGGCAGAGGCCCTCGGCTGGGTTGGTTGCACCTCGGGGGTGGGAAAGCCCTCTGTCAGGCAGGTGGGTGCGGAGAGCCAGCGGGCACCTGTGTTCTGCGCGCACGGAGCCGCGGCCTGGGAGCCTGCTGCGTGTCCGTCCCGGGAGCTAACCAATCAGGCTGGAAGCAGTTCCGCTGCGCGCTCACCTGACCTGTGCGGCGCCACGTGAAAGTGCACGCTCCCCGCACGGGTTACGCGTTGCTGCCCACAGTCACCTCTGGCGTCTGGGCTTGCACCGGGCTGAGCACGTAAATACTTGGTTTTCAGTCTAATCGCCCTGGATGACATAATCAGTGTCATGTGCTGTCTGATTATTAGATACAATTACAGCCTTGCGAGTTACTAACCTGCAGGACGCCCAAACTGACACCTTTCTCAAACTGCTTTGAAGCTGGTGGGCATCGGCCTGGCCCTCGCTCTGGTGCCCTGGGAGGGGCCGGGCGGGGCCTTGGCCTGCGGGCCTTTGGAGGCAAACAGAGCTGGCTCAGCCCCCTCCCTCCTCGTGGCCAATGAGCCTCTGTTTCCCAGTCCACGAAAAGGGGATGAAGACCACCTTCCTCCCAGGTTGGGGGAGGTGGAAATGAAAGGTGTTTTTCAACAGCTCACGCGCAGGCCGGTGATGAACAGCAGGGACGCCAGGCTGCCCTGGTTGTGACGCGTCCGCCCGTCTGGACAGGGAGCCAGGCGTGGGGTGCGGGCAGGGACTGAGGGCCGTGGGCGCCAGGCGGAGGGGGCTCACACCACTGCCCGCCCCTGCAGGGCGGCCTGTGCACTGACCTTCCTGTGCAGAAGCTCCTTTCTCACCCTCTGGACGGTCTCTCTTTCCCAGACAGAAACCGGCGTGGAGACGTCGTCACTGTACTGCGCGCTGCTGCGCATCCAGCCCCAGATCCTGCACTGCTGGCGGCCCATGCGCCGCTCCTTCAAGGCCTACGACGAGGGCGGGACCGGGATGATAGGCGTGGCCGACTTCCGGAAGGTGAGCCCGCCCTGCCGCCACCTCTGAACCCCACGGGTGCCCGGGCATCTCAGAACGGCCCGGTCCCCACTGCAGGCCCGCTGAGCAGCTGTCCCAGGCCCCACCTCCCCGGGACCCCAGGTCATCAGGGCTGAAGTGCATGCGCCTCCCCTGCAGACCCCAGGTTCTCCTCCCTGAAGGCTTCCAGACCCCCTGGGGACACTCCTCACTGCCCACATGGGAGCCCAGCTGCCCTGACCTCTATGGGGGACCCAGGGCCTGCGTCTGCCCCGCAGGACCCACAGAGCAGAGCAGAAACATGGAGGGGCTAAAGCCAGGCCCCAGCTGTGGCCACTCAGAGGAGCCCCGTGCCCCCCAGCTGCCCTCTGTGAGGTGACCGGCTCACCCCCACAGCAGGGGCTGGCTGAGCAGTGTCCCCTACAGAGTCTGAACTCGGGTGCTTTAATGCCCACGGGAAAGTACAGTCCCCAGAGGAGACGCAGGCTGCAGGGAGCACCTCCCGCGGATGGGGGCAGCCACCCCCAGAGGGACCTGCCTCTGCTCTGCCGGCGCGTCACCTCTGCCACCCTCAAGGGCAACTTGAGCTCCACTTTTAGAATAATGTAGAGCACCTGCAACTCCCTCTCTCTCCACCAGGCCCAGAACATTCGCTGAAAAATCACTTATCACGACCAGAAAAAAAGACACAAAGGGTTATGACCTCAAAATGCACTTACAAAGCATTATTCCTTGGGTTCATCTCTGCTTCAACTAAAAACTGTGTGTGTGTTTTAACTCATCTTTATTGTTGAATATATTACAAATGTCCCCCCTTTTATCCCCATTGACCCCCTTCTCCCCAATTCCTTCCCCCTCCTGCCCTCCCCACACTATTGTCAGTGCCCATTGGCTATGCATATATGCATAGAAGTTGTTTGGTTTCTCTCTTCCTGCCCCCCTCCCCCCTTCCCTTTGAGGGTCATCAGTCTAACACCCAATTTGTACTTCTTAATTCCTTCATCTTTTTCACCCATCCCCCCAGCCCCTACCCATCTGGCAAGCAACAAAAAGTTCTCTGTATCTATGAGTCTGTTTCTGTTCTGCTTGCTCATTTTGTTTGTAGATTCGGTTGTTGCTAGATATGTATTAATTGCCATTTTATGTTTGTATTTTTGTTCTTCTCCTTCAAGAAGACCCTTCAACATTTCATATAATACTGGCTTGGTGGTGATGAACTCCTTTAGCTTTTTGTTTGTCTGGGAAACTCTTGATATGTCCATTGATTCTAAATGATAGCTTTGCAGGAGAGAGTAGTGTTGGTTGTAGGTTGTTCCTTTTCATCACCTTAAATATCTCTTGCCACTCCCTTCTGGCCTGCCAAGTTTCTTTTGAGAAATTGGCTGACAGTCTTATGGGAGGTCCTTTGTAGGTTACAGACTGCTTTTCTCTTGCTGCTCTTAAGATTCTCTCTTTGTATTTAACCTTTGGCATTCTGATGATGATGTGTCTTGGTGTGGTCCTCTTTGGGTTCATCTTGTTTGGGACTCTGTGCTTCCTGGACTTGTATGTCTGTTTTCTTCACCAAGCAAGGGAAGTTTTCTATCATTATTGTTTCAAAAAGATTTTCAATTTCTTGTTCTCTCTCTTCTCCTTCTGGCACCCCTATGATGCAAATGTTCACACGCCTGAAGTTGTCCCAGAGGCTCCTTACTCTATCCTTATTTTTTTGGATTCTTTTTTCTTTTTGCTGTTCTGATTGGGTGTTTTTTGCTTTCTTATATTCCAAATTGATGGTTTGCTTCTTGGCTTTATCTACTCTACTACTGATTCCCTGTAAATTTTTCTTTATTTTAGTTAGTGCATCCTTCATTTCTTACTGGTCCTTTTTTATGTTGTTGATGTTCTCACTAAGTTCCTTAGAGGTCTCCTTAAGTTTCTTGAAGGTCTCACTAAGTTCCTTGAATGTTTCACCAAGTTCCTTGAGCAACCTTATAACCTGTTTTCTGAACTCTGCATCTGATTGATTGCTTATCTCCATTTTGTTTAATTCTTTTCCTGGAGTTTTGTTATTTTCTTTCATTTGGGACATGTTTCTTTGTCTCCTCATTTTGGCTGCTTCCCTGTGATTGTTTCTATATATTAGGCAGAGTTCCTATGTCTCCTAGGCTTTGTAGGGTGGCCTCTTGTTGGAGGTGTCCTTTAGGGTCCAGTGGCACAGCCTCCCTGATAACCCCAGCTGGGCCCTCAAGGTGCACCCCTTGTGTGGACTGTACACCCTTCTGTTGTAATTGAGTCTTGATTGCTGTTGGCACATCAATGGGAGGGATTCACTCAGGCTGATCTGCTTGCAAGGACTGGCTGTGCCCACTGACCACTGGCCTCTTAATCCCTTGGGGACAGCTATGTAGGGGCCCACCACACAGAGCATGACTTACCTCAGCAGGGCTCTGGTACCCACTGAGTCCACTCCTTGAGTGTATCACTTGTGGACATGGTTGGGTGGGGGTGCTTGGGTGTGGTCTGAAGCTGTCCACTGGGTGTGCTGGCTCTGGGGCACGGTCAGCCACTGCCTGTGTTCTATCCGGGGGCACCCAGCATAAGTTACAAAGGGATCTGAAGATGGCTACTTCTTCTGCTGGGTTTGGTGGTGCCCAGGAAAAGCCAAGTTGTGAACCAAGGCTGGCTGCTTCTAGTGCCAAGCCTGGGACAACTTAACAAGAGGTATGGAGCTCGCTGAGACAAGATACTGCTTGTTTGAGAGATTTTAGGAAACTCTGAAGCAGGATCCAAGACAGGCCAATCCTATGGTAAAGCCTTTGGAAACAGCTTGGGTGGGCCTGAAAGTTGGGTGGGGTGGGGCCTCAGGGAATCACTGGGGTGGGGCAAACAGTGTGAGCCACCAGGTTGCTGGAGTCCCAGATATGGCTGCTGTCTGCCACCCCAGGGAAGGGCTCACCAAAGGAACAAAGGCCTCCGACAGCACGTTTGTCCAAGAGAAAGCCCCCTCTGCAGCCCTCGTTCTGAGGCCAAACAGCTCAGTTCTTCCCTGTATGTCTCTGGCGCCCCTCGAGCTGCCTCCACTCCGAGCTTAGAGGGAGAGAGTCCGAGAAGTCCGTGCACGGGCCCTTTAAGAGGAGCTGCCTGGGGCTCCAGCCGCCTCAGCCTCCCTGAGCCTCAGTTCCCGCTGGTTTTTCCAGCCAGAAGTGATGGGGATTCTCTTCCTGGCACTGGGACCCTGAGCGGGGCACCTGGTGTGGGACGGGGACCCCTCAGTCCTCAGGGAGGATCTTCCCAGTCGAGGTGTCCTCCTGATTTGTATCCACCACACGTGGGTGTGGGACCAGCCCATCCGCCTCCGCCTTCCTACCAGTCTCAATGGGGCTGCCTCTTTAATTCCATAGTTGTAAGACTGCCATTCAGCTCGATTTCAAGCGGTTCTTAATGATGGTTGTGCTATAGTTCAGTTGTCATTTTGATGTGGTTGTGGGTGGAGGCGGTACCATGTTTACCTACCCGCCACCTTGACCGGAAGTCAACTAAAAACTGTTTTTAAACAACTAATAATGGGAGACCAGCTGCGGTTGATGGTGGGCGGGGCACTGCATTCACACGGCCGTGCTGGGCGCTGACCAGTGAGGGGCCTGCCCACCCGCCCTGGAGCGCAGCCGGGACCCTGGCAGTGGACACCCGGCCCCTGGGCCCCCGGCGCTCTCCGACCCGCATTGTCTGCCCCGACGTCAGGGTCAAGTCGAATTCTCCGGCTACTGCTCTCCTCCGTCTCCAGGCAAACAAGGCTTCATTAGTCTCCTGACAGGCAGCGGCCCAGGAATTGGGGGGTGGCAGCAGGAGGGGTGGGGGCTTCCTCGGTTGTATGTATCATCTTTATTTTTATGCACGAGGGCGCCTGTCTGTGAGGGTTTGTTTCAGCTGCGTGTAACAGGGGAAAAAATAACAACAGCTTCAACATGGTGGGAGTTTATTTCTCTCTCTGGTAAAAGAAGTCCAGCCCCGCCCTGGCCTGTTTGGCTCAGGGGTTAGAGCATCGGCCTGTGGATCGGAGAGTCCTGGGTTCAGGTCCCGCTAAGGGCACGTACCTCGGTTGCAGTTTGTCCCCGGCCCCAGTTGGGGTCATGTGGGTGGCAACCAGTCGATGTGTCTCTCACATCCATGTTTCTCTCTCTCTCTCTCTTTTCCCCCCTCTGTCCCTCCCGCTCTATCTGAAGATAAATGCAAAAATGTCCTTGGGTGAGGATTAAAAAAAAAAAAAAGTCAAGTCCTGGCTGGTGTAGTTCAGTGGTTAGAGCGTCGGCCCTCACACCAAAGGGTCTCAGGTGCGATTCCTGGTCAAGGGCACGTACCTGGGTTGCAGGTTTGATCCCTGGCCCTAGTCAGGATGGGGCAGGAGGCGACCAGTCGATGTGTCTCTCTCACATAGATGCATAGATGTTTCTCTCTCTGTCCCTCCCTCTCTACCTTCCACTCTCTCTGAAAATCAGTGGAAAAAATATCCTCAGGGTGAGGATTAACAACAACAAAAATAAAAATAAAAAATAAGTCCAGAGGCAGGACGTCCAGAGCTGGGTGGTGGCTGGGCAGTCACTGGGGTCCGTCATTGGGGCTTTACCATCCTCAACACCTGACTTCCTTCCTCAAGGTTGCTGGGGGGGGGGGCGGGGCTGGTGTGAAAGAGAGAGAGAGAGAGAGAGAGAGAGAGAGAGAGAGAGAGGAGGGGAGGAAGGAGGAGTGGGGCGGGGCTGGAGGCGGGCGCTCAGGCAGGGTGGGCGTGTCCGGCCCCACCCTGCAGCCTGGGCTCCGCTCTGTCCCGCAGGAGGAGGGGGTGGGGCGGGGCTGGAGGCGGGCGCTCGGCAGGGTGGGCGTGTCCGGCCCCACCCTGCAGCCTGGGCTCCGCTCTGTCCCGCAGGAGGAGGGGGTGGGGCGGGGCTGGAGGCGGGCGCTCAGGCAGGGTGGGCGTGTCCGGCCCCGCCCTGCAGCCTGGGCTCAGCTCTGTCCTGCAGGAGGGGCGGGGAGGGGCAGGGTGGGGCGGGGCTGGAGGTGGGCGCTAGGGCAGGGTGGGCGTGTCCGGCCCCGCCCTGCAGCCTGGGCTCAGCTCTGTCCTGCAGGAGGAGCGGGGCGGGGCGGGGCTGGAGGCGGGCGCTCGGGCAGGGTGGGCGTGTCCGGCCCCGCCCTGCAGCCTGGGCTCAGCTCTGTCCTGCAGGAGCGGCGGGGGGCGGCGGGGTGGGGCGGGGCTGGAGGTGTGCGCTAGGGCAGGGTGGGCGTGTCCGGCCCCGCCCTGCAGCCTGGGCTCAGCTCTGTCCCGCAGGAGGGGCGGGGTGGGGCGGGGCTGGAGGCGGGCGCTCGGGCAGGGTGGGCGTGTCCGGCCCCGCCCTGCAGCCTGGGCTCAGCTCTGTCCCGCAGGAGGGGCGCGGTGGGGCGGGGCTGGAGGCGGGCGCGCGGGCAGGGTGGGCGTGTCCGGCCCCGCCCTGCAGCCCGGGCTCCGCTCTGTCCCGCAGGAGGGGCGGGGTGGGGCGGGGCTGGAGGCGGGCGCTCGGGCAGGGTGGGCGTGTCCGGCCCCGCCCTGCAGCCTGGGCTCAGCTCTGTCCCGCAGGAGGAGCGGGGCGGGGCGGGGCTGGAGGCGGGCGCTCAGGCAGGGTGGGCGTGTCTGGCCCCGCCCTGCAGCCTGGGCTCAGCTCTGTCCTGCAGGAGGGGCGGGGAGGGGCAGGGTGGGGCGGGGCTGGAGGCGGGCGCTCGGGCAGGGTGGGCGTGTCTGGCCCCGCCCTGCAGCCTGGGCTCCGCTCTGTCCTGCAGGAGGGGCGGGGAGGGGCAGGGTGGGGCGGGGCTGGAGGTGGGCGCTAGGGCAGGGTGGGCGTGTCCGGCCCCGCCCTGCAGCCTGGGCTCCGCTCTGTCCCGCAGGAGGGGCGGGGTGGGGCGGGGCTGGAGGCGGGCGCGCGGGCAGGGTGGGCGTGTCGGCCCCGCCCTGCAGCCCGGGCTCCGCTCTGTCCCGCAGGTCCTGAGACTGTACGGGATCAACCTGTCGGAGGAGGAGTTCTTCCACATCCTGGAGTACTACGACAAGACGCTGTCCTCCCGGATCTCCTACAACGACTTCCTGCGGGCCTTCCTCCAGTAGGGCCACTGCCCTGGCCCGCGCCGGAGAGCGCAGGGCCTGCCCAGGACGAGCGAGAGCCTATCATCCGGGAAGTTTCGTGAACTTTGCAGACTACCTCCAGGAACCAGACTCAGACCCCACCGAGCCGGCCTCTTTCCGGGGCCGCGGGTTCGGCACTGCCCCTGGGTCCCAGCCTCACTGACAGCCACTCCCGCGGCCGGGACATCGCCGCCTGAGCCTCAGGACCCCCTCATTAGCCTGAGCAAATAAAAATGTTAGTCTTTGCAGACATGATTCTTACGACTTTAAAGAACCACCAGTGTTGGAATAATTAAAACCTGGGAGTTTCTGGAGGTTTGATTCGAGAGCCTGCTGGGCGCCTGGGAGCCGATGAAGGTCCCCTCCCCCCACCCAGGCCTGAGTGCTTCCTGGTCCTGGGTCAGACCTGTGCCCCTGCTGGGGTGTCCACGGGGCTGCCTCCCTGCCCCGGCTCGCGCCAGCCTGCCGTCCCTGGAGCCGGCACCGCGGGCTGAGCCCTTGCAGGGCCCCCTGAGCCGGAAGAGGATCCCAAGCACCCACCAGGGATGTTTCTGGAGGGGCCCTTCCTTGGACATGGCGGCGTCTGACAACTGAGAGAAGTTTAATTCACTGTAATCCTTTCCACCTGTTGGGAAGCAGATGGAAGGGAGACAGTCTGCTGACTCTTGAAGGTTCTGGAAGGAACAGCCCACTCTGTCCCACCAGCCACACCACCGGGCAAGGTGGAGTTTCCACCTGCATTGTAGAGATGGAGACACTGAGGCCAGAGCAGAGGGAGGGCAGGAAACCCTGTGGGACTTGTGGCAGTGGTGGGTGGCCTGGGGGCAGCGGGGAGGAGGCAGCTCCTTGCTTTCTGTCTCTCAGCCAGACTCCCCCCAGCCTGGCAAGGGGGGCATCGGGATGAGGCTGGGAGACTCTGGCAGGGCCTCGTAGCAGGGACATCCTCAGCCCCAGCACCTCTTCTTTCTTAGGGATGAATTCCCTAGGACCCCGTGCAACTTGCCTGTCCGGACTGAGCCTGCTTCTGCATCTGCAAAAATGAAGATCACAGCCTGTTCCACTGTCCTCCTGCGAGCATCCATCCCAGGCCCAGGAGCCAACACACACTGCCTGGCCCAGGAGCCCAACACTGACCTGCTCCCGGGAGCTCCCAAGGCCATATAGGTCACAGACAATCGAAAGAGAGGAGGGTCAGGACTCTGGTTGCAGGGACGCTCAGTGTGTGGGAGCCTGAAGAGCCCGCGCCATGAGCTCAGACAGCCTCAATAGTAGACTCAACACAATCAAGGAAAGAATGTGTGAGCTTGAAGGAAACGTACATAAATTGAAACGCAAAGAGAAAAGAGTGGGGAAAATTCTATGATTAGCAAAATATCCTTCAAAAATAAGGAGACATAATTTTATAGAATCAGAAAACTTAACGATAGGTGAGTTGAGATTATCAAGTCTTAAAACAAAAATAAATAAAAATACAAGCAAGCATACTAACATACACACAGTGGAAATCCCAGGAGAGGAGAGAGAAAGTTTCCCAAACTTGAAGAAAAACATGAAGCTACATACAGAAGAAGTTCAGTGAACTCCCAGGAGGGCAAATCTCAGAAATTCTCATCCAGACCTATTACATCAAATGTATGATCATCTCAGCAGATGCAAAAAAAAAAAAAAAAGCATTTGACAAAGTTCAGTATTAATTCATAAGAAAAAATTAACAGACTGGGAACAGAAAGGAACTTCCTTAACTGAATAAAAGACATTTTCAAAATACTATAGCTAACAGTACAGTGAATGATGAGAGAATGATGCTTTCCCCTAAGATGTCCTCTCATCACTTTTATCCAACATTATACCGAAAGTCCTAGCCAGTGCAATAAGGCAAGAAAAATTTAAAAACCCAGGAAAAATAAAAATGGAAAGGAACAAATAAAATTGTCTCTATTTGCAGATGAGGTGGTCATCTACATAGGAAATGCCAAAGGACACACCAGAAAAGCTAACTAAGCTGGGTGAGTTACAAGGTAAATATACAAAATTTAATCATATGTCTATATACCCACAGGGAACAACTGGAGTGTGAAGTTTAAAAAACAGTACTATTGCCCTGGCCGGTTTGGCTCAGCAGTTAGAGCGTCGACCGGCGGTCCAGAGAGACCCGGGTTTGGTTCCCGCTAAGGGCATGTCCCTCTGTTGCAGTTTGTCCCCGGCCCTGGTTGGTCATGCGGGTGGCAACCACTCGATGTGTTCCCTTCACATCGAAGTTTCTCTTCCTCTCTCTTCCTTGCTCTCCCTCCCACTCTATCTGAACAAAAAAATGGAAAAATGTCCTCGGGTGAGGTTAAAAACAAAACAAAACAGTACTATTTACAACACCCCCCCATGAAGTACTTAGGTCTAAATCTAACAAAATGCATACAGAATCTCTATGATGAAAAATGTGAGTATGGATGGAAGAAATCAAAGATTTAATTAAATGGAGAGAGAAGTGATTTTTGTGAATTATGAGACTCATTGCTTGTAAAATATCACTTCTCTCCACTTTGTAGATTCTATGCAAGCCCAACCAAAATCTCAGCAAAATTTATATATGTCAAGTTAATTTAAAAATGTACGTGGAAAGGTAAAGGAACCAGACTAGCCAAAACAATTCAGAAAGAGAACAAAATTGGAGGACTCACACTACCCGATTTCAGAATTTACTCATAAAGTTATAGTAATAGAGTACGATATTGACCCCCCAAAAATGATATAGATAAATGAAAACAAAACAGAGAGCCTAGAAATATTCTCACTCAAATATAGTCACTGATTTTGGACAAATGTGCAGAAACATTTCAATACAGAAATCATGTTCATATGCAAAAGCATGAAACTTGACACACACTCACACCTTCTACAAAAATTACCTCAAAATGCATTATAGACCTAAATGTAAAATATAAAACTGTGACAGTATATGCCCAGCCGGTGTGGCTCAGTGGTTGAGCGTCGACCCATGCATCAAGAGGTCGTTAGTTCAATTCCCAGTCAGGGCACATGCCCAGGTTGTGGGCCCGATCCCCAGTGGGGGGCGTGCAGGAGGCAGCCAGTCGATGTTCTCTCACATCAATGTTTCCATCTCTCTCTCTCTTCCTCTCTCTCAAATCAATAAAGAAAAAAAATGTTTTTTTAACTCTAACTACCTACAGAAACCATCAGGGAGAATCTGCTTGGCCTTGGGCTTGGCAGTTGCTACATCACAAGCACAATTCATAAAAGAAAAAATTGATAAGTTGCACGTTATCAAAATTAAACACTTTTTCTCCGAGAAACTTAAAAAAATGAAAAACCCACAGACTGGAAAAGATTTTCAAATCACATACTCAAGTTAGGACTTGTACCCAGAGCATAAAGAGCTTTAAAAGCAAACAACCTCGTTTTGAAGGGAGGGGAAAAGGTATGAACAGACAGGTCACAGAAGAATAGGTGTGAATGGCAGATAAATGTACACAAAGACGTTCAGCATCAGTCTTTAGGGACATGGAAATTCAACAACGAGACACAACGCACACCTACTCAGATGGCTGAACTTTTTGAAATGGACACTAAATTCTGATGAGGGTGTGGGCCAACAGGAATACTCATTGCTGGTGGGACGGCAAAAGCCATTTTAGAAACTAGTGTGATTAAAAAGGAGCCAAACAGCCCGGCCGGTGTGGCTGCGTGGATGGAGCATCTGTCCCATGGACTGAGAGGTCCCGGTTCCATGGTCAGGGCACATGCCCGGTTGCAGGCTCAATCCCCAGTAGGGGGCGTGCAGGAGGCAGTCGATCGATGTCTCCTTTCCTTTCTCTAAAAACTCAAAAAAATTTTTTTTAAAAAACCAAACAAGGGAGTTTTCCTGGTGATGGAACTATGCTTCTCATAACACATAACCCTAGACTCGTCATGAGAAAATACCCAACACACGCAGTTGGAAGAACAGCCTACAGAATGCTCAACCAGTGCTCTTCAAAGCTGTGCGGGTCGTGACCGTGGAGAGGAGACAGACTGTCGCAGACCGCAGGAGACCCAGGAGGCGGGGCGGCAGGACGCGGCGGGGAATCGGGGATCGCGTCCCGGAGCAGAGGAAGGAAACGCATAGCACTGAAATCCAAATCCAGATACAGCTGAACAGCGTTACACCGACGATGATTTCTTAATTGATTAATGGACCGTGGTTATATAAGATATTAACATTGGGGGAAAGGTATAGAGGGACTCTGGGCCATCTTTATAACTCTTCTGTAAATCTAAAATGATTTCAAAATAAAAAGGTTTTTTTTAATGGGAAAATCATTTCTTGTTGTTCAGGGCCCAAAGAAGCTCCTTCCTCCGGGAAGCTTTCCCTGATCTCCCCTGTACGCTGGATTTGGCAGGACTCCGAGCTGGCCAGGCAGGCGTGGGCCCAGCTGGGAGTTACTGGTGACAGTACAGTACGGCAGAGCACCGGGCGAGCTTGTCCACAGAGCCACCTGCACTAGTTTATTCAGGAAGAAAAGGCCTGGGAATCTGGTCCCCGTGGAGGAAGCCGAGAGCAGCTGGGGGCAGGCTCCCTGGGAGTGGTCTTACCACAAGGGCAGAGGGACAGGGAGGGGGGGTGTGGCTGGGTTTGTCCATGGGCAATGGGAGCGTTATCTGGGACCCAGTCCTGTATCGTCCCCTCCTGCCATGGGGACGCCTGGGGAAAGATGGCCGTAAGTGTGCAGGACCCCAGGGGACTGAACCACCAAGAGCTGAGGCACCAGGCGCCCCCCACCCTTCGCCACTGGTGCAAATCCCAGACACAATCCCAGTCCGTCTACACCAAAGGCAGCAGCTGCATCAGCAGAGCAGGACCCTGGTGCTCTACAGCAGCGCCTGCAATGTCGCAACACTACCAGAGGTGGCGGCAGCCACAGAGGGTCCCTGCTGCTGGTGAGACCCCTGCTCTGGTGCACACCGGCCAGAAGCAACGGGGTGTCTCAAGTCCAGCAGCTCCTCCTCGGAGACAAGGAATGGAGAGCCAGGACCCGGACAGGATGCTGCCCCTGCCCTCTGCACACCTCTCTAAGGGCTCTCCCAGCTCCATGGCCTTGGTTATGACCCGTAAAATGCAAGTCTCCAGAGAAGCTCCTCCTCCTCCTCCAGGTCCATTTATGCCCCCCCATCTCCACCCACTCCCTCCCCCATACTGGACGGCACACCTTCCCTGCATACCCCAAGGTCACAGCTCCTTCCTCAAACCTGTTCTTCCTGTTCCTATGCTTGGCATCCATGGCTGGCAGCCAATATCCATCGCCATCTCGGCTCTCCCTCACCCTCATCCCCACATCCACTCCTTGTCAGTCCTGCCTCCTGACCCTCTCAGCAGCACCACGGCCACCTCCCCAGTCCAAGCCAGGCCCATGGGAGGTACTCAGTGAATGTTTGTGAAGTGGATGGATGGGTGGGTCAGTGGGTAGGTGAGTGGATGGATAGTGGATGGACGAGTAGGTCAATGGGTAGGTGAGTTAATGGATGGTGGATGGATGGATGGTGGATGGATGGTGGATGGACGGGTGGGTCAATGGATACATGAGTGGATGGATGGTGGATGGTGGATGATGGATGGATGGGTGGGTCAACGGGTAGGTGAGTGGATGGATGGATGGATGGATGGATAAATGAATGGATGGTGGGTGGATGGATGGATGGATGGATGGTGGATGGATGGTGGATGGACAGGTGGGTCAATGGGTAGGTGAGTGGGTGGATGGATGGATGGATGGATGGATGGATGGATGAATGGTGGATGGATGGTGGATGGATGGTGGATGGATGGTGGATGGATGGTGAATGAATGGTGGATGGATGGTGGATGGATGGTGGATGGATGGTGGATGGATGGTGGATGGATGGTGGATGGATGGTGGATGGATGGTGGATGGATGGTGGATGGATGGATGGTGGATGGATGGTGGATGGATGGTGGTGGATGGGTGGGTGGTGGATGGATGGTGGATGGATGGTGGATGGATGGATGGATGGATGGATGGATGGTGGGTGGGTGGTGGATGGATGGGTGGATGGTGGATGGATGGTGGATGAATGGTGGATGGATGGTGGATGGATGGATGAATGGATAAATGAATGGATGGTGGGTGGACGGATGGATGGATGGATGGTGGATGGACAGGTGGGTCAATGGGTAAGTGAGTGGGTGGATGGATGGATGGATGGATGGATGAATGGTGGATGGATGGTGGATGGATGGTGGATGGATGGTGAATGAATGGTGGATGGATGGTGGATGGATGGATGGTGGATGGATGGTGGATGGATGGTGGATGAATGGTGGATGGATGGTGGATGAATGGTGGATGGATGGTGGATGGATGGATGAATGGATAAATGAATGGATGGTGGGTGGACGGATGGATGGATGGATGGTGGATGGACAGGTGGGTCAATGGGTAGGTGAGTGGATGGATGGATGGATGGATGGATGGATGGATGAATGGTGGATGGATGGTGGATGGATGGTGAATGATTGGTGGATGGATGGTGGATGGATGGATGGTGGATGGATGGTGGATGGATGGTGGATGGATGTGTGGGTCAATGGGTAGGTGAGGGGATGGATGTTTTGCTGAATCAATGGATGACTGAAAATGGCAGGATTTTGGCAGCTCAGGAAGTTGGAGTCCTTACACCTGCAGTGCTTTTCTTGGCCACACGAGGACCCTCGTCTAGCAAGGCCTGGGTCACATGCTGCTTCCAGGAAGAGCCCTGCGCTAGGGCGACCGGGCAGCTCTCTGGGGAAATCAGGCTGTCGGGCATTTGAACACGACGGCACGGAAGTGCCCATGCCAACCACCTCTGAGAGCCCTCTCCACCCGGGGAAGCTGGAGCGAGCAGGATGCCAGTCGCTGGCACAGCAAGGAAGGTCTGGCCTCGGAAATCGGTCCGGGACTCCGGACGCCACCAGGGGGCGCCTCTCTGCCCACGAGCCCCACGCGACACACACACAGGCAGGAAGAGGCGGCACGCGGGCTCTCTTTTTATAAAGACTTTATTGTCTGACATGCTTGACAAAAAAAATTACAGCCACCAGCAAGTTATGCCGAAACGGTCGAGGAGCACACCGTCGGCTTTCACACCTCAGGGACTTTCAATGAATCTTCTTTTAAAGTAACAGCTGCCTTCATAACTTTTCTGTTCCACATAAAAATACACCGTATTCTGAAGATACCTTAGGAAAAATTGTCTTAAGTTTCTAGATCTTGATCCACATAGAATTCAGCAGAGGTGACTGAAAGGGCCTGTGTTTTCTGCACCCCACACTGCACACCGGCCTTGCGTCCAGGGCACCCCAAGACCTCGTCAACATCCCAGCCACCAGGAGCCACTTGGGCCAAACAGGGTTCCTGAAGCCCTGCGCCCCCAGCGTGAAGCTGACCTGGGTCAGTGCGGTGCTGCTGCAGGCCCCCCAGATGGTGCCTCGAATCCACAGGGAGCCCTGCCCAACTCGGGGAGGAATGGTCTTCCGGACGCCAGGACGCTGGGCTCAGGGACAGGGCCCCTCAGGGCCCCAGGGACGCTCTCTGAGGAATGAACCAAACAGATCTGAACAGGACCCTTACGTTTAAAAAGAGAGGAAAAGAAAGAGCCTTGGACACGCATTGCCTTACAGGGCGCTGTGTGCCCTCAGACAAGTTACCTTGCCTCTCTGATCTTTATCTCTGCATCTCTAAAATGGGGCCACCAAGTAAGTACCCACTTTGCAGGACTGGCTGAGGATGAAACGAGAGGGACTGTGACTGCAGAGCACTCGCTGCAGGCTCGCTCCCTGGGCTGGGACGGGGTGAGGTGAGTAGGGCCCTCCTCTTGGGTGCACAAGTTACGAGTGTACCAAAGAACTCGGTAAAAACAACGAATGATACTTGTTGTTGTTGTTAATCCTCACCTGAGGATATTTTTTTCTGTTGAGTTTTTTAGAGAAAGTGGACAGGAGGGGGGAGGGGGGAGGGAGGGAGGGAGAGAGAGAGAGAGAGAGAGAGAGGGAGAGAGAGAGAGAGAGACTGGTTGCCTCCCACTCCTGCCCCAACCGGCCAGGGATCTAACCTGCAACCCAGGTATGTGCCCTTGACTGAACCGCACCAGCTAGGGCACAAATGATACTATTTCAATGTAATAATTTTAAAACTCAAAATCAATGCAAAAAATACCCATAATGAACAGAATACCCACATTTTAAATGAAGGCAGACTCACCTTGTGCATGCCCATCCTACCTCACCGGCCTCACCCCACAGGCCCTGCTGTCTCTCAGAGATTCAGCCCACACCCCAGTCCTGCTTTTAAAAAGAAAAGGCAGCCCCCTGCGTGGAGCTGCTGGAGCCCAGAGCCCCCTCCCACTGGGCCACCCCCTGTGACGGGCCAGCTGGTGCTGGACGACAAGGCCCTGACCTATTCAGCGGTCCTCTGCTGTGGACACGCCAAGGAGGGTCGGCGCAAGGGGAACCCCACCAGGGAATGGAACCCATCCGAGGGCAGTAATGAGATGCACGGTATCCAGTCATTAAACTAAGGGGTGCGGGTGCCCACACGGGTACATACATGTGGCAGGGTTGCCTCGGCCTGCGGACCCTCCAGCTCTTGAGTCCTGCACACCAGTGTGGCCCCCACGGGACCAGAGCTCATCCGTGACTTGGGAACCCTCCAGCTAGTCCTGGGCACCCAAATGGCTCCTTCTGAAAACCAACCCCCCAAATCATCCAGGCTCCAAGCAAGCAAGCGCTCAGGCCGTGGCTCGGGCCGGCCGAGACGCCCACAGGGTGAAAACAAGGGGACCACGCGAGGCAGCGGCGCACAGGCCGGGCCCGTGCCGTGGCTTCCTGAGATGTCCTGGTCGCTCCCTGGACGCCGGCTGCGGAGGAAGGAGGGGCTGTTCCTACCGGCTCTGAGGCCTCCCCACCCGCCAGCCCGGGGGCTGGCAGCCACACAGACCCGGTGAGAGGGAGCTGTTGTGCAAGAACCTCCCGACTCTGTCCAAGAGCAGTCGCTTTCCCAACCCACAAGGTGTCCAACCACGAAGGGTGAAGACTCAGTCATTTCCCGGGTACCACGGGGCCATGGGCTTGTTAGGTCCTCTAACGAGGTGCACACGGAATGTACACACAGGAAACAGTAATGAGCACGGAACCCCCGACAGGGACCCGCAGAGTCCCGACTCCAGGTGACAGGAGGTGAGAGAGTCCGGGGAGAGATTCTTCATTCCAAGGCTTCAACTCATCTGCTGGGCTGGTCCCCACGGCCAGACGGGTTGTCTGCACGGAAGGAGGGGCGGTGGGGGGTCCGTGCTCTCAGCCGGGCATAGGGAGCTGCTGCGGGCGGGAAGGGCTGGGACAGCGGGGCAGTCAGGAGTTCCGGGGCGTGGGGAGGTCGATGACTATGGGCGGATTCACGGGCTGGTAGTTCACGGTGCACACGGATGCGTTCACGTAGGTGGTTGTCCCATCCGCCATGACACCGTACCCTGGAAAGTAAGCACACGCCTGTCAAGGCCGAGGGCTGAGGCCAGACCTGGAGCAGTGAGAGGGGTCTGGTGGGGTGGGAGTCAGAGGGCGCTCAGCCACAGTGGGCTGAGCATGTCCGGAGCAAACTGCTGGAACACTCAGCTTAGCCTCTTCATCTAGACACACAGACGACAGTGCCAGATACTGCCGAGGCTGCTGTCAGGACCAAATGAGGTGATAATCCACGTAGTGTTCAGCTCAGTGCCCGGGAAGCACACATCATCACTGACAACATCATCATCACCATCATCACCATTGTCATCACCACCATCATCATCATTGTCATCACCATTCCATCATCACCAACACCAACACCAACACCATCGTCATCACCACCACTGCCACTACCACCATCATCACCATTACCACTATCACCATCACTATCATCATCACCATCATTACCATCATCACCATCACCATCATTATCACCATCATTACCATCACCACTATCACCATCACCATCATCACCATCACCATCACCACTATCACCATCACTATCATCAGCATCACCATCACCACCATCACCATCATTATCACCACTATCACCATCATTATCACCATCATCACCATCATCACCATCACCATCATCACTATCACGATCATCACTACTACCATTATCACCCCCATCACTCCCTCTACCACCATCATCACCATCATTATCATCACCATCACCACTATCACCATCACTATCATCACCATCACCACCACTGTCACCATCACCATCATCACTATCACCACCACCACCACCACCATCACCACTATCACCATCACCATCACCATCATCACCATCACCACTATCATTATCACCATCATTACATCATTGCCATCACCACTATCATCACTATTACCATCACCATCACCATCACCACTATCACAATCATCATCACTACTACCATTATCACCCCCATCACTCCCTCTACCACCATCATCACCATCATTATCATCACCATCACCACTATCACCATCACTATCATCACCATCACCACCACTGTCACCATCACCATCATCACTATCACCACCATCACCATCACCACCACCACCACCACCATCACCATCACCACTATCACCATCACCATCACCATCATCACCATCACCACTATCATTATCACCATCATTACATCATTGCCATCACCACTATCATCACTATTACCATCACCATCACCATCACCACTATCACCGTCACCATCATCACCATCACCATCATCATCACCATTCATCACCATCACCACCACCACCACCACCATCATCACCAGCAGCAGCAGCAGCAGCAGCATTATCATCCCCATCACTACCTCTACCACCATCACCATCAACAGCATCTCACCATCATCATCAACGCCAATGGGCTATTTCTCTCCAGCATAGAGATCAGGGAGGAGGTGACTGAGGTGAAGGGAGGCGAGATGGCCCCTCTGAAGAGCCAGTGAGGAGCCCCTGGTATATGGCCCCCCTCCACCCCTGTGCTGACCTTCGTGGATGTGGCCGAAGACGTGAAGCCGTGGCTGGACGCGCCTCTGCACGGTGTTGAGCAGCTCCACGCAGCCCACCCGCTGCATCTTCTTGGGGACCCAGTCCAGGAAGCCTGTGCAGGGGACAGCAGGAGGGCAGTGAGCCGAGCCCCGAGCCCCGCAGGCCCCAGAGGCTGGGGTTCTGGACTCACAGGCCTGGGCGTAGCTCCCCGCTTCCTCAGCCAGGCCCTGCCTCGGCCTGCAGGGAGGGGAAGTGGGGTCTGCCGTGTGCCACCTGGGCTGTGCAGCCTCCCTCCTGTGCCAGCCACGCACAGACACAGAGCCCAGGGTGGGCCCGGCATGTGGGATGGGTGCTCAATAACAGAGCCCCTGCCTGTCCATGCTCAAAGTGGTCTCAAGGGGAGCAACCGCCATTGCAGAGATAAGCAAACCCCGGCCTGAGAGGGACAGGAGAGGCCCAAGGGCCCCCAGGGGCCGGCAGCAGAGAGGAGCCCAGGAGCAAGACTTCCATGTCGAAAACTTTCTAAACAGACATCACAGAACCATGGAAAGGAACTTCCTTCAGTGCAGCGTGGCTCAGGGCTGCGCCTGGTGGGTCTGCACGCCAGCCTCCCGGAGCTGTCCCCGTGACAGCCGCTTGTTGTCCTCACCGGGTAACTGATTACTCCAGGAGAGACTGAGGTCCGTCTCAGCCCGCCCGGTTCGGGTGGGTGCACTGGATTCATAACTGCCGGTGGGGGGGGGGAGGGTCCCTCGACACAAAGAATCGGACAGGCTGCGACCGCATGGACTGGCGGGGGGGGGGGGGGGGATGGGGGCGGGGAGAGACTGAGACAGGAGAGAGAATGACAGGAGGAGCAGGAAGGGGGAAGAAGGAGAGAAGGAGCAGGAAGTGGGCAGGGAGTAGGCCTGGAACAGACTCCTGGGTTTAAGTCCCAGGATCTGCTCCCTGGCTGTGTGACCTTGGATAAGTGACTTAACCTCTCTGCGCCTCAGTTTCCTTCAACAGTGCATCACCAGCTGGGCTGGGCTGGCACACAGACATCCCTAGAACAGGAGCTGGGTCTTGTGTGTGAGGCAGGTGTGGGGAGGCATCCTGAGAGCAGGACACCCAAAGATACTGATTGGACAGCCGGATCGAGGGATGGAAAGGAGGGAGAGATGCAAGGGAGGGAGGGATGGAAGGGAAGGAGGGAGGGAGGGAGGGAGGGAGGGAGGGAGGGAGGCTCATTCACTGTACAACCAGCCACAATGAATGTGATCAGCAGACTTCCAGTGATGCCCCCAAACCCTAGTGGGGCCCTTCCTTTAAAAACGGGGATGGCAAAGCCTTCCTCTCAGCACCGTGAGCGCTGGTGGGCGCCTGGCACCTAGCGGGCATCAGGGCAGCCCCTTCCGCGCAGGTGTGTGAGCGGAGACTCTTCCTGCACGGGCTCTCCCTCCCTCCGCTGCCTGCCCCGGACCCCATTCTGCTGTCACCTCCTCTGTGAGCACCCCAAGCTCTCTCGGACAGCCTCTGCCTCTGCCTCAGACTTCCTCAACCCCTGAATGTGTCCCGCTGGGCTGGGCCGTCCTGGGCCCCTCGACCCAGCGGCCTGTGAGCCCCAGACAAGCTCCGCATCAGGTGAGCCCTGGTGCAGCGTCGCCAGCCAAGCCCAGGAAGTGACGGCAGGTGGCAGAGGCCACGGTGGGGAAAGGCTGGTCCGGGCTGAAATGCCAGGAGTTTGAATGTCACTGTAGGACTGGAAGGAGCCTCGAAGGGTCAGAGGTTAGCACGGTGTAACGGACACTCTGAGAACTACTGTGGGCAGGCGGAGGGGAAGGGGACTCGGTGCTGGGGGACCATGAGGAGGCCGTCACAGACAGAGGACGCTGGCCTGGGCGGCGAGGGCGGCGGCAGTGGTGGAATCGAAGGGACACGCTGGGGCACTGGAGGTGGGCAGGCGAGGAGAGGGCCGGGAGGGGAGATGCTGGGGGGTCCAGAGGCACTGGCACCTACTGGGGTGGGTAGGGGTGAGGCACCCAGGTGTCTGACAGGGTGAGGGGTGAGGAGACGGGGTCTGAGATTGGCCTGGTGGTGTGAGAGCCCAGGACTCAGCGTCGGAGAGCCCAGCCCTGCCTTTTGACCTCCCCAAGCCCCGACCTGCCGTGTGTGTGTGTGTGTGTGTGTGTGTGTGTGTGTGTGTGGCTGATTGTGACCCCCGGTGGGCTGGGAAGAGTCCGTGAGGTCACAAGTCCAGCTCCCAGCTTAGAAGATTAGGAAGCCAATGGGGCAACTCCTCCCCAATGCCCAGCACACCGGGCTCAGGACAGGGCCAGACAGGGTTCCCCTCACATCCACCCGTAGTGTCCCCCTCAGAGAGAGCAGGCTGGGCTGGGGCTGGGGCTGGGCTGGGGCCTGGCTGGGGCTGGGGCTGGGGCTGGGCTGGGCTGGGGCTGGGCTGGGGCTGGGCTGGGGCTGGGGCTGGGGCTGGGCTGGGGCTGAGGTTGGGGCTGGGGCTGGGCTGGGCTGGGCTGGGGCTGGGCTGGGGCTGGGCTGGGGCTGGGCTGGGCCTGGGGCTGGGGCCTGGCTGGGGCTGAGGTTGGGGCTGGGGCTGAGCTGGGGCTGAGCTGGGGCTGGGGTTGGGGCTGGGCTGGGGCTGGGGCTGGGCTGGGGCTGAGGTTGGGGCTGAGCGGGGCTGAGCTGGGTTCGGGCTCTTACCCAGGGGTGGTCCATGGGTCAGCAGGATGTCCACGCCTTCGGGAATGAGGTTCCACTTCTCGAGCAGAGCTTGTCCTCGAGGGAGGTTGAAGCCCCAGCCGTAGAACCAGGGCTGCCTGTGGGACAGAGCAGGGTCAGAGAGGCTGGGGCACGAGAAGGGAGGCAGGCCGGGCACCGAACGCACCAGGATGGGTGTGAGGACTGGAACCAGCCGAGGCGCGGCGGGCATTCCTGGACTTGGCCTCGGGGCTGTGGGGCACCAGCCTCCTCTCCCCCTTCCCTCTTGCTTAACTGAAGTTTCTTTTTCTATGATGAATGAGTAGTATTTGTGCAATAAAACATAAAAGTTAAACAGGCAGCTTTTGCCAAAGACCTCCCTTGCTCCAAGCCTGGGGAGACCCAGAGAGCTTCCTCCGCCCCGCAGCTGGTGGGCATCCCTGCGTCCAGCTGAAGCCCCCAGGAGTCCAGGCAGGGCTGGGCCGCCCAGCTTGAGGACAGGGCCCGTGGAGCCAGGCCGGTGAAGGAAACCCCAGCCTGTCCCAACCAGGACCTGGACCGATGGACGCAAGTCACTCCCCTCGACTGGCCCCTGCAAACATGGGCCTCCGCCCTTCCGCCGGAGGGCATCCCAGACATTCCTGTCACCACGGGAGAAGGGGCGTGTCACCTGTGTGTGAACCAGGGGCTGCTTGCCCTGGGAGCTGTCCCCAAGGGCGGTTCAGATCAAACCGCACCAGACGTCCACCCATAGCAGAACTTCCCAGTTCTCTGGGCCCACGGAAGAGAAAACACCAGAGCACGTCACGGCAGAGAAGGGCACTCCAGTCCACGTGTTTGTGTTTAAACAGACACCCACGGCCATGTGAACTGTGCCCAGTGTCAAATGCTTTCCTGCCACGGCCCCGGGTCAGAAACGGCTGCCAGTCCCGCTCCAGCGCCGGGGAGGCTGCTCCCCCTGCCAGGCGGCTCTGGGCTGACACTCGCGGAGCCCCACCCCTGGGCACACGCCAAGCCCGGGGTCGAGCCAGGGCGTGGCTGCAGGGGGTCCGCAGGGAGCCTGCCCCGCCCGCCCAGTGAGAGGGAGCAGTGTCTCAGGCACCGCCTTCCAAATACTGGACCCAGTTTCCAAAAATCGAACCCAGTATCTAACAGACAGGACAAGGCCCCATCAGTAGGTGCAGGGGCATCCGTCAGTCCCTGAGCCAAGCAAGGTGTGGCTTTTTGAAAGAGACACTTGGAAAGATCTCAGAGGCCACCCAGAGGCCCGGGGAGCCGAGCCATGGTCCAGCCCTTACCTGCCCCACCTCCCCCGCACCCAGCACTGATGAGCCTTCTTCTGGGGGTGACAGTTTCCCCACAGATGCACCTGCCTGGTTCTGGGAAACATATCACTGCAAATCCCAGGAAGCTGGACACTACCAAGCCCCCAGAGACGCCCAGAGAGGTTGCTCACTTCCCGATATCACACAGCAGGTCCCAGGCTGAGCCAGCGGAGAAGCACGTCTCAACAGGGCAGGACTCGGGACTACCACCAACGCCTCCTGCCTCCCTCTTTCTCCCCACCTCACCACGCCTGTCCCTGGGCCATCAGATCCACGGGCCTTGCAGGCAGCGTGTGGGGTGGGGAGAGCAGGGGCCCTTGGGGACTGCCAGGTCCAGCGGAAGGGCCTGCCTGCCCCCGCTGCTGGGTGGACAGAGCTCTGAAGTTGATGTCACGCCTCCTGGTTCTGCCCCAGGCTGGTCCCTTCACCTCTCCAGCCATGTCAAATGGGACAACGAGGCCTGTGCCCCCAGACCTTCCCGGAAGGCGGGACGGCCCTGGCTCCGTGCTGTGCTCCGCAGTGAGAGCGCCCTCCTAAGACCGGCTCTGCCCACCAGCAAACAGGTGCCCCGGCTTGTATTCGACCTGGGGGAGCAGGAAGGTCGAATCCCACGTGAACACGTCCAGAGGAGACGTTTCCCAGGGCGGCTGCCGGCAGGGGAGCCCTCCCCGGGCTGGGGGCCTTCCTCGAGGGTGGCCAGGAGCACGCAGCCGGCAGGTGGGGACCAGAGAAGCAGGAGAGAGGACCCTTCAGGGTGACCTCCCGAGGCCAGGAATAGCCTCCGGTCCCCTGTGTGGTGTCCACCAGGAGACAAAGGGGGGCTGTCCTTCCTCGAGTCCACCTCGGCCCTAGGCGCTCCCACGACCCCGTCCAGTAAGGACCTTGGGGCCAGCGGCGAAGAGCCAGGCTGCCCAGGGTTCTAGGCAGGGGTTCGCAGGGTGTCACCCCAGCAGTAGGGTCCCGCCCCTCGCTGCGCCCACCCACCTTGGGGCAGCTGAGACTCATGGACGCCGGAGACGCAGTGCTGGGCGGCACACAGCCGGGCACCTGGGCCCAGCCTCACACCTGGGGGCCCCCACTCTGCCCCGAGTGCAGCACAGAGGCCCCAGGAGGCCCCATGAATCAGAATTCCGCCCGGGTGATGGAGGCGGCTTGACGTCCTGAATTTCTGTCTTTCTGTTCTAAAGTAACCATTGGAATAATTTTCTTACAGAATGATAGTTGCCATGACAACCAGAGCAAATTTCCCTTTTCTGAAACAGATGTCTCATTTAGTTGAAAATTAGAATGTGAACAAACCCATGGGAAAAATTAATTCAAACTTTAACAGAGCGCTGAATACAATGTAATCTCTCAGAGGTTAACTAACCCTTAACAGCTTTTCTGTGCACTTACGGTAACCTTCGAATCCGGTCTCATTAAGGCCGCTTAGCCACTACGAATGACCTCCTCGGGCCCATCAGTAACCGGCCTCCCCCGGAGCGTGCATTCGGGGTCCCGGCAGAGGGGGGCAGTGCCTGTCGACAGAAAATGGCTGAAGCGGGCGCCCCACTCTGTTTTGTCTCCCCGGGTAAGGTGCACAGCCCCTGGGCAAGGGGACGTTCCAGGGGGTCTTTCAGTAGCCTGGGGTACGGCCACCCATTTCTCAGGGAGTGGGATGTGGGGGTGGAGGAGGCCCAGGGTGCCCCTGGTTAGGGGGCCCAGTGGTACACCCTGGCCAGGGTCTGATGACCAGAGAGTAGAGTGTGGGGGCTCCCTCAACAGGACCCCAAGGGGTACCTGTGCAATGCCGGCTCCAAGGGCTCGCCACAGCCTCCAACCCCCACACCTGCCCCTGGGAGGCAGGTGCCATCACTGCCCCTTTGACAGATGCAGAATAGGGGCACAGAGGTTTGCTTGCCCAGAATTACCTGGTGACCAAGGGACCGCGAGAGCTCACACCCAGGCAGCGGACCCAGAGTTCTGAAAGCAAGACCAGGAGCCCTGACACCGTCCTCAGCAAACCTGCTTGACTAGCTCCACATCCTAGCTCGGTTAGTCCTCAGGACAGAGCTGTACGAGGTCCTCATTAAATCAGGAGAACGTGGTGGCACAGAGAAGTCAAGCAATGTGTCTGAGGACACACAGGAGGCATGAGGGACCTGGACCAGGGTTTCTGGCTCCTGTCCCCTGTGCCCCATGGTCAGCTCACACCAAGAGGACCCTGATGGGGTGGCCAGGCCACAGCCTCCCTCTTCAATGGCAACTGCTCCCAGATGTCCCCTGCCAGGTCTCAACACAGCCCTTGGCCCGGCCGGGCCCCTTCTGAGCCTGGCTGGGCCAGGACGAAGCAGCCTGCCACCCTAGCGCCTCCAAGCCTCTCAGCTGTTGCCCATGTGGCTCCTTTACTCCAAAGCCTTCCCTGGCTCCCTGCAGCCGTGCCCACCACACCGGTTAGGCTCAGATTCCTGCTCAGGCTCCTGCTGAGCCCCACCCCCACCCTCCCCTGTCAGACACCACAGTCCACCTTCTGGTTCCGGCACACAGCTCAGCCCTTCCCCACCTCCAGGGTTTTGCTCATGGTGTTTCAGCCATCTGAATGCCCTTCCTAGCCTCTCCGCAGAGCCCACCACTGGTTGTTTGTTCAGGCCTGGCTCAAGGGCCACTTCTTCCAGGAAGCTTCCCCTGATCACCTCCATCTCCCAGCATAGGTGACCCTCCCCATTCTGAGTGCACTTAAGCCATCTCTGTCCAGGCAGACCCAGGGCAAATCTTCCCTGCCCAATAGATAGCTGAGAAGGGCTTCAGAGAGGGGTGTGCTCGGGTGTGCACAAGTGAGGAAGGAGGGAATGAAGGGTCCGCCGAGGTGTGCACGAGTGAGGAAGGAGGGAATGAAGGGTCCGCCGAGGTGTGCACGAGTGAGGAAGGAGGGAATGGAGGGTCCGCCGAGGTGTGCACGAGTGAGGAAGGAGGGAATGCAGGGTCCGTCGAGGTGTGCACGAGTGAGGAAGGAGGGAATGCAGGGTCCGTCGAGGGGTGCACGAGTGAGGAAGGAGGGAATGGAGGGTCCGTCGAGGGGTGCACGAGTGAGGGAGGAGGGAATGAAGGGTCCGCCGAGGTGTGCACGAGTGAGGAAGGAGGGAATGCAGGGTCCGTCGAGGTGTGCACGAGTGAGGAAGGAGGGAATGCAGGGTCCGTCGAGGGGTGCACGAGTGAGGAAGGAGGGAATGCAGGGTCCGTCGAGGGGTGCACGAGTGAGGAAGGAGGGAATGCAGGGTCCGTCAGGTGTGCACGAGTGAGGAAGGAGGGAATGCAGGGTCCGTCAGGTGTGCACGAGTGAGGAAGGAGGGAATGCAGGGTCCGTCAGGTGTGCACGAGTGAGGAAGGAGGGAATGGAGGGTCCGCCGAGGTGTGCACGAGTGAGGAAGGAGGGAATGCAGGGTCCGTCGAGGTGTGCACGAGTGAGGAAGGAGGGAATGCAGGGTCCGTCAGGTGTGCACGAGTGAGGAAGGAGGGAATGGAGGGTCCGTCAGGTGTGCACGAGTGAGGAAGGAGGGAATGGAGGGTCCGCCGAGGTGTGCACGAGTGAGGAAGGAGGGAATGGAGGGTCCGTCAAGGTGTGCATGAGTGAGGAAGGAGGGAATGCAGGGTCCGTCGAGGTGTGCACGAGTGAGGAAGGAGGGAATGCAGGGTCCGTCGAGGTGTGCACGAGTGAGGAAGGAGGGAATGGAGGGTCCGTCGAGGGGTGCACGAGTGAGGAAGGAGGGAATGCAGGGTCCGTCAGGTGTGCACGAGTGAGGAAGGAGGGAATGGAG